GAATACTTACAAAAGTGATCGTATGTGACTTCTGAGGCTAGGTCATAAGAGACATTGCTACTGCTTCCTTGGTCTCTTGGATCATTAACTCTGGGGGAAGCCAGCCACCATGTAGTATAGACACTCATATAGCCCGTGAGAGGCCCACATGGAGGGGAAATAGGCTTCCTCCAGGACCAACCTGTCAGCCACCTTGGAAGTGGACTCTCTAGCCCAAGTCAAGCCTTCAGACGACTGCAGCCCCAGACAATATCTGACTGAATTCCATGGGAATTCTGGAGCCAGACGGCACAGCCAAGGTTTTTACAAATCTCTGACCGCAGAAACTGGGAGTGATGATAAATGTTTATTGTTGTTTTAAGCCACACATAAGCAAGTATTTATTGTTGTTTTTAGGTTTTTGGGTAACTTGTTAGGCAGCAAGAGATAATTAAAACAGGGGATTGAGAGTTTAGGCGGCAGCAGTACTCTTGAAGCCAATATTCCAGCTTTCTACTTCCCACTTTCCCAGCTGGGGCAGAGATAACAGTTCCTTCACAGGCCTGTTTGGCCATACTGTACTGAGATGCATTCTTGGTCACCCAGCCTAATGCCCACTCGTCCCATCCTTCCAATGACTCTGTGAGCCTGCATTCTCTGTTATGTCTCTTTCTGCTTAAAATAGCTGGATTGGTATTTGTTTCCTGCAATTGAGCTTAACCTAATAAAAATACCCATCTCAAATCAATAGCTAGACACTAGGGGTATTCCTGTTAAAGTAAGGAATAAGACAAGGAAGTTGGCTATCAAGAGTATCATTTAACATCAATCTGGAAGTGCTATTTCATTATTGTATTGCAAAAAGAAGGCAAATTTTTCATTATATATAATAAGGTGATATAATTGTCTACCAGGAAAATTTGAATGAATAAGCTGAAAATGAAAATTATTAAGAAAGTTCAATGGGGCAGTCAGTTAAAAATTTAACCAAAAACTCAATAGCTTTCCTATATAGTAACAATAACCATTTAGAAAACAGAAAAAAAGAAATAATGTAGTCCAGTAGCAAAAAATGCATTAAATAACTGGGGGAAATAAATTAATACATTTAATGTGATTTCCATGAAAATTCCAGCTTTATTTTGAACTTGGAAAATTTTATGATGTTATCTGGAAGAATAAATATTCATGTGTAGATAGACAATTATGAGATAGTAAGACTAACAAAGGACTTGTCTTATGAGATAGTAAATATATTATAAAACTACAATAAAAATGGAGTGATTTTGCTTCCAGAATGGTGAGATTGATAAATGAAATAGAAGAAAAAGACCAGAAATAGGTCCAACTACATGTAAGAATTTGATATATGGCATACATGTTGGGAAATAAATGGGGCAAGTATGAATTGTTCAATACATTTTTTTTAAGATTTTATTAGGGAATTGGGGGAAGGGAACGGCGTTGGGAAATTGGGGGGGGGAACAGACAAGTTGCTGTCCTTTTGTTCTTCAGTTTAGTTGTGGAGGACATTGCTTCACTGGCCCATGTTGGTATTATCATTGCACTCTTCCTGGGTGAGGCAGATCGGTCGCCAGCCTCTGGATGGCTGCTCACAGCTGCTCTTGCTGGCTGACGGGCCACACAAAGTAGCTTATGGCAGCCCACTGCAGCAGGGGCTGCAGCCTACACCATCGCCAGCGACTCAGGACAGCCCAGCTCTAGGTCAAGCTGTTGTTCACCATCTTAGCTGTAGAGGGCAATGTCACTGGCCCTCATGTGGGATCTGAAC